TATTATTTTAGTTATTTACTAAATCAGACTGATCAACATCTGCAAGCGTCACTATCTATTCCTATTCTCTCTTCCATGTTTTTTTAAATCATTTTATTTGCAGGCATTTTTAGTAAATTATCCATATGTTTCTTGACACGTCATATTAATTGTTTTTGTGTTGGTGTCTTTACAGGGTGGAGCGGCCATCCAGTGTGTTCAAAACGCTACCACTTCATCATAACGGCTGATGGTAACTGCATTGGTGGCAACCGTAAACCATGTGTTCGTTGTGGAGATATCCTGCACTTGTCAGAATTAAGGTAATTTCATTGCTGTACGTATGCTTGTGTTATGAACTATGGTGCATGACATGCATGGATTTGTTCGAGTTGTCGTGTCTAACTTCTTTTTGCATCATTTTTTTTAAGGTGCAGGTCATGCAGCCATGTGACAACTACAGATGATGTTGAGGAATGGGTGTATCACCAATTGGAGGACACAACTCATCTTTTACATGGTGTAATCCATTCTAATGGATATGGCCACCTTCTTAGGGTCAATGGCCGGGAAGGGGGTTCAAGGGTTCTTTCAGGATGTCATATCATGGACTTCTGGGACCGAATATGTAAAACCCTTGCCGTCAGGTTAGATATCTAAGTGTTTGTTTCCTTGCAAATTTGATAGTTCATGTCCAAGAATGACCACTCTCCTTGTCTTGCAAATCGTATTCAAGTTATTGCTTGTACTTAGAATAAGTGCAAATAATGAAATTAATTATACTGTTTTTAAGTAGTTTTTGCAATATACATATGATGAGTTAGATAATCAATTTAAATCCCACCAACAACTCAACACCTCCCTTCTTTCTATGGCGGAAAGAAGGGAACAGGAGAACAACTTGGCAACATTGGTATTGATTCCTTTAAATTTTCTGTTATTAGTAAACACACACACACACACACACTGTCAAATTATTTAAATACCTTATATGTAATTTGCAGATATTTAATTTGGCCAGTGTGAATCTTTTTCTTGCTAAAAGTATGGTTGAGCATATCATTTGGTGCTGATAGTTTTCTGTTTATGTCTGTCCTATTTAGAGTCTTTGCAGTGAAATTTCTTTGATAATATTATGATCGGTTCCCCCCCCCCGGGTTGATCCATTTGGATATTTACTTGTTTGCATTTACCTTTTTGATTGAATTTAATCATGTTATAGTTTGCTGAAACAGGAAGGTAAGCGTGATGGATGTATCAAAAAAGTATGGGTTGGAGTACCGACTGCTTCATGCCATTACCAAAGGTCGTCCATGGTATGGGGAATGGGGTTATGAATTTGGTACTGGTAGTTTTGCCCTGACGGTTGATTCCTATAAATCAGCTGTTGAAACTCTTTCTAGCCTTCCATTATCCATCTTTCTGCTGCAAGGATTGAAACCCAACACCCAACTACAGGATGTTATCTCATTTTACCAGTCTTTATCAAAGAGCAAACTTGCAAATATAAAGGACCTCTTTCGCTTTCTAATGAAGTTGATCCATGATGCTAAGTCTACCTCAAGGGTTGGGGATCCTACCTTCAAGAGACAACGTACTTCTTCATCATGGAGTACAGCTGATGTTGCACGCGTTGAAGAGGCCATGTTTAGAGTGCTTCGGGCAGTATCTGGGTCCAATTGGGTAAGTTCACGTGCACTTAGGGGAGCTGTCTGCAGAGTTGCTCCTCCAGCTCTCCTTGAGAATTGCCTAATCGAACTTCGTGGGAAAGTGGCGGCAGAAGGAAGGGTTGTCAATGCAAGACGCAATCCTGATTCGGGTTCTTTCGAGTATAGGTATGTGATTTGATGTCTTTAAATACCTTGTTCATACAAACATGCCTTGCCCGTGCAGCCATCAGATATTTTCAGTCCCTGAACAATTTACTAGTCGTGGGATTATTATTTTTCCTTTTACTTGTCTAAAATGCAGTTGTAATATGATCTCTTACAGTACATACTCTATTATGTTGTTTTCATCTGTCACAGGCTTGAGCCTCGAAATATCTCTGCAAGCACCAGTGGGAATGATACTTGTGTTCCTAACTGTCATCCGAGCGAGGAAATTCTTAGGCAGGATCTTAAATTCTTGTACCAATCCATACTCCATCCTAAAACCATGTCGATCTGCCCTCCTGATGACATAAGAAATCTTGCCATCAGCTCAGCCGAGAAACTCCTCGACTGCAAGCAATTTGTGAAACATTACAAGAACGAGACGCAATCAAGTAGGAATGGAGATTTAATTTGCATCTCATGTGAGTTGGAGCTTACAGATCAACATAAAGAAATCGCCCCGGATCCACCTGCAGAACTAGTAGTTTTACCAGTAAAAGCAACTGTATCAGATCTTAAGATCGAAGCCTTGAAGGCTTTCCAGGAAGTATATTTGGCATTCAGAAGATTCCAAGCTGAAGAGCTGGTTGGCTTTGGCGGTGTAGAGGATTCCACCCAGGTCAAGCTCTTGATAGGGTCAACTGGATCAGCTCGACTCCGAGTGCGATGCCCAGGGAAAATCGGGGTTAGTAAATATAGGTTGGAAAGAGGGGTGGAAAGGTGGTCTGTGGACTGCAAATGTGGAGCCAAGGATGATGACGGGGAAAGGATGTTGGCTTGTGATGTATGTGGGGTGTGGCAGCACACGAGGTGTTCCGGAACTAAGGATTCCGAGGCAGTGCCTGCCAATTTTGTTTGCAACCGATGCAGCCATGAGTCGGTGCGGACTACGGAAAGTGTTGGACAGTGTAAGAATGAGACCGGAAGCTACAGAAAGAGCTCGACAACTCCTCTTGATGGTTGAAATGTAGGGGTGTTTTGAAGGCAGGTTTCATCAACGTGTACATAAAAAGAAACTGGCCTAAAGGCAGTTGTTTTGTTCTTTGTATATATTTTTGCCAAGTTTATATAATTTTATAAAAAAAATTGAAAAAAAAGAAGATCAAGTAGAAAGAAATTATGATCCCGTTTTGTGGTTTTTCTTTCTTCCTTGTTCTGTCCGTTTTGCTTTTTATTTTGGTGAAGTCTCTTTTTCAACTCTAAAATAATTCGATTATATTATCAAAATTGGTGAATGAAATTCCACAAAATGAAGTTACATGGACTAATCACATTGTGTTTTCATCAAGTTCTAAGCATCATATTTTATATAAGCTGGAATAATTAGATGAGTAAACTATATTTGATACGTTGAATTTTAGATGATACATTGTTTATATCATTCAAACTTCAATTTTTTTAATTGTAGCATTAAATTTTAATTTTAACTTCAATTATGTAGATGATACATTGTTTATATCATTCAAATTTTATTTTATTTTTTAATTATAACAGTAAATTTTGATTTTAATTTCAATCATGTCATTGTGCTACTAAAATCCAAACGTGTGATAACGTAAATAAAATGACATTTTTAGTGTGGACTATCGATATCTAAAACATCATTTTAAGTACTAAATTTTAGGGGCTTATCAATTTTGTCATTGAACTTGTAAACAATTTAAATTTTTGCACTGTACTTTTTCAGCGGTCGTCGACAATTAGTCATCGCTTGTCACCGGTCCTCTTTTGCGGTAATATCAGTATCATAATATTTGTATTTCACTCTTCTTCTCTTGGGATTGATTTTTCACGAAATTCATTCATAATCTGAATTAACAAAATGATAGAAGACAATAAAACATGTTCATCTGTATTTAGGGTGGTTGTAAAAGGCATCAAGAACAATGTTTTCTACGATAAAAAATGAATAAAAATCATAATTTTAATAAAGAAGACGGCGAGATAGAATAAAAATAATATTTTATTTGCTTCGTACCACCAAATTTTCATATTATATAATTGTTAATGGATTAACCACTCAATGATAGAACTTCATGTAAAACTAAAGTTTGGTATTATAATCATACCAATTTTTAATCTAATAATAATTTCGATAAAGAAACTATAATCAAGTAATCTCAATTTGTTTTTAGAAATAGGATAATGGGATTTGAGTGGCAAATCCCATAAAATAGCAGCACAAAGTCATCTCATCTCCCTCCACAGTCCATTCCACTATCATATAGGAACGAATAATTTTATATTAAAAGTAGGAATTTAAATTTATAAAATTTCACAGGATAAAAACATATTTTCAATAAAAATTACATAAAAAAATCTAAAATATGAATTAATTCAAAATTTTCAGGGAGAACTACTTTAACTATCCTCTCGATCCATCTTCGTCCACTATGGAAGACAATGAGGCCATTCAACATGGAAAACAGCTGCATGCCAATTTCCACGTACCTCCACTTCCCTTAATTTCATTCCTATCCGAATATTTTCTACAATTTTTTTTCTTTCATATTAATATAAAAACTATTTTCATAACATTATTATGTGAACAGTAACCCAAGTTGGTGGACGGAGTCGAACACGATTCATGTTTGATTATGAAAATCCTTTATACTTTACATTTTAACAGCATTTCTACAATTTATAACAACATTATTGTTATTTCAGGCAAAATTTTTCTCATGGGGCGTTGAAAATTATCAGCTCGTGTAGGGGTTTGTCGAAATTATTTTCAGAGATGGGATGAATACTATAGTACTCGTCAAAGGAGGTCGAGAATATCATGTGTCTTCGGGGAGACGCGACGACTACAGTCCGTTTTCTGTTTTTCTATTTTAGAAGGCTTACGTTTCAATTGGGTGAACAATGGAAAAAACGCATTGTGTCCCCCGACACTATAACATTCACTCTAACTCAGAAAATAATTTTGACAAGACCTTATAAAAACTAATAATTTTTTACCCTATTTAAAATAAAATATTTAAAGCTAAAATGTTCTAAAAACAAATAACAAAGGTTAAATTAACTATTTAATAAAACATTACAACACTTATATATATGCATTTGCTGTCCACTTTTGTAGCAAGCTAAACTCTCTTTGAATCCACTCTCAGTTCATTGGTTGGCCTTCGAGTTTAGCAAAGTTAGCAAAGTTGGCGATGGCTATGTTGTTAGTGTTACTGATTGGCGTTGGCGTCGGCACCGGCATCGGTGCTGCGAATAGTCTCCAGATGGACTACTCCACTATTTGCCCATTTGCCGAATCGACCGTGAAGAACGCCGTTAACAAAGCATTGCGAAATGATCCAACCCTGGCAGCTGCCTTGCTTCGAATGCATTTCCATGATTGCTTCGTTGAGGTCCCTATTTTCTCTCTTCTCATTTTCTTTTCCTTTTTCGTTTCCAATGACTGATCCAACTCATATTCGAATGTGTGGTGGATTGAACAGGGATGCGATGGGTCCGTTCTCGTCGATTCGACGGAGGATAACACCGCCGAAAAGGACTCCCCCGGGAACTTGAGCTTGAGAGGCTTTGAGGTTGTTGATGATGCCAAGGAGCAGCTCGAAGAGCAATGCCCCGGCATTGTCTGTGTGCCGATATTATTGCAATGGCTGCTAGAGATGCAATTTTTTAGGTACCTAACTGCTTAACCTACGTTATATATTTATTACACCTCCGGAAGTGTCCCGGCCTCCGCCAAACTGAACACAATGAAAATTATCAGTACTCTGCAATTATTACACGTAGATAAGATCTCTAATAAGTTCATCAAAACGAAATCCAAAATTTGACTACCTAACTACTTAGCAATTCAGCCTACTAATAACCATCATGAATTCTATGACTAACACTCGCATTAAAGTCCAATATATCAATACCATCATGAACCTTATGGTTGACACGTAAACTAAAGCCACTATAAATACCTCTCAACACGACTGAAACATGGATTAACACTTTTTACACTTTTTTTCCTCTATATCTTTTCTCTCTTCTCTTTTTCCACGATCAACCTATTGATGTATAACCGTACTTCCACCGTTATAATTTTTTACCCATATCAAAAAAGATGAATCGTCTATAATTGATGAAACCTTTTTGTTCCCATCAATAATATTCAATATTTTTTTAATTTAGTTAAAACTCGGCGTGTATGATTTACATGAATAATACACTAATACATACGTAACTCGGTTAGACTAAATGGTGACAAACAGGCAGGGGGTCCAATATATGATATACCAAGAGGAAGAAGCGATCGAAGGAGGTCTAAGATAGAAGACACAATCAACTTGCTTTTTCCCTCCTTCAACACTTCTCAGCTCATTAACGCCTTTGGGCAGCGAGGATTCACTACGACGGATATGGTTGCTTTGTCCGATACTCGATATCTATACCATATGTTAACCGTTTGACTGAGATGATGTCACGAATTAATTATCGGTCATGTACATTAATGCAGGGGCACATACAGTAGGAGTGTCAAGGTGTTCATTTTTCAAGAACAGGTTGAGTAACCAAGATCCGACCCTAGATTCCGATTTCGCAAAAGGCATTATCGACAACATGCAGAGCAGGCGGCAATGCCAAGCAACCTTTCGACGACATGCCGAACAGATTCGGCAATGATTACTTTGATGTGTTGACGAGGGAAAACGGGGTTCTTTTCTAGGATCAAGCGTTGTATATGACGACCAGTACGAGGGCGATTGTTAATGGTTACACCATGAACCAAGCTAGGTTTTTCCTTGATTTCCAGCAGGCAATGGTGAAGATGGCGAGGCTTGATGTTAAGGAAGGCCCCAAGGGAGAAGCGAGAAAGAAATGCCGCAAAATTAACTGAAAATTTGCAATTCTATAATTTAATTTTCTGTAACCTAAATCGTATCAACTAAAAATGCATTATAAATTACAATTTAAATCAAAACTATAATTTATCACACCAGTTATAGGTGAAAATGTATTTTTTTTAACAAAAAAAATGTATTTTTATATTTTTATTTTAAAAATAAGTTTAAATTATTATTTTTATTATTTTGAAATTACAACTATATTAGAAATTACGATCGTTATCGGTTGTTAGATTTGTATATTACTGAATAGATATAATGTAGAAAATACCTATTCTATTGAATAGTAATTTTGTTTCTTAATATTTGAAGTATTTTGACTTTTAATATTCTATTTTAATATGAAATGATTATTGATAAAACGGAAATTATTAGTCGATAAATATTTAATATTAATATAAGAATATCATGTCACATTTTCAATACATAATATATGCCACAACATCACTTTTGATATGTGACATGTATCATATCATTATTTTAATATATCATAATGACATACATTAACGGTTAGTTAACTTATAATTCTCATTCAACGTATAATATTTTACTTTAAAATAAAGTATTGTACATCAAACTATTTTTTTAAAAAAAATTATTTATCATGCATTAAGAGTTGAGATAAAAAACAACAACAATAATTTTAGTAAATTCGAGTTAAATCACTTATTTAGGGTGTGTTCATAGGTGGAAAATGTTTTCTTCATTTTTCACTTTTATACATTAACCCAAATAAAACTAAATAATAAACTGAAGTATTTACAATTATTTAAGTTGTTACTTGTTTTTAATATAGAGCAAGTTTTTTTTATTAATATGAAACAAACATAAGACATTATTTGTACAGAGATAACTCTTAGCCATTTTATATTAAATGCTCACACCTCCAGTATTCCTAGTGTTTGAACCCGGGACCTCAAGAATAACAAGGGAAAAGTACACAAATGGTCCCTCGACTATAAGCTACTACTTTATTACGTCCCTCGACTATTAAAATTACAAAGTGGTCCTCCAACTATATAGTGTTGCTTTGTCGAGTCTCTCGAGCATAAAAAGTTACAAAATGGCCACCCGACTATTTATTATGTTCCAAACTCATCCTTTTTCTTTAAAAATTGACGTTATTCTGAATTGAACATTACCTTGTTGATTATGATATGATAAAATATGATCTTAGAATCTCAAACGACTATCATATTCTATTCATCATGTTAACGTTCGACTTAGAAAACCACCAATTTTTTAATGGAAAAGGAAAAGTTTGGAACATAAAAAATAGTCAGGTGGTCATTTTGTAACTTTTTATAGTCGAATGACTCGACAAAACAACACTCTATAGTCGGAGGACCACTTTGTAACTTTTAATAGTCGAGGGACTTAATAAAGTAGTATCATATAGTCTTTGGACCATTTGTGTACTTTACCCTAACAACAATTACTTTTTCATGCAAATTAGATTAGAATTGTTTGTATTTAAATGTTGATTTTTATGATAAAATTGAATTTGACTTGGATTTGAATCAATTGGGTTGCCTTTATAGAATACAACAAAAGTGCAGAAAATGAGCCCAAGATGAGATTCAGCCCATGAAAGAACATGAATTTGGGAGAACTACAGCTTTCAGAAATTTCTTAAAACCGAAGCTAAAAGAACAGAGATAAATGATAAATCCGAGGAAATTACTAAACAATTTCTTTTACGGGTAAAGCGGAGTGGATCAGATCCAATCTAACCAAAGGAATTCCCGGGAAAAGATGGAGAAGATGAACAATGCGTTTGAGAAGATGAAAATGCTGGTGGGAATGGAGGTGGACGATGAACAACAACAGCCTGCGATCGAAGATGGAAACTCATTCTCTTTCATGGACGATTTCAATCGCCAGTGCACTTTGTCCACCCAGCAGGTTTCCTTTCTTTGTATTTTTTTTGGGATAATTATCCTTTCTCTTTGTATTGCTTTCTCTTACTTGCTTCTTCCCACTGAAGTTCGCTTAAATTGGTTGGAATTCGCATAATCTTCCTTGAACTTGAGATCCGAGAAACATTCCATCTGCGTTCCTCGTTTTTCAACCCATGATAGTCAGTGCAATTTTGTTTTGGAAACAACAATTCATTTTTGTATTTTTTTTCGTTGCATAGATATATGTATATCCAAATTAACAGCTAGGTGTTGAGTAATATTGATTAGAGTTGCCTCAGCTTCATTTTTGCTCGTTCTTTGAACAGTTTGGTTTCGTTTGCCATCGTCTTCTTGTGCTTTTCGGTACTCTTGTAGAAGTTAAAAGTAAGGATGAAAAGGGAGCCTAATTTGCTTTTAACTAATTACTTTCTTTCTCTTGTGCTTTAGAGGTTTTATGGGTTTGCGATCTGCTTGGTTTCTGGCTTAGCTTGTACATTCCTGGTAAGTATTTACCGTATAATATTCATTTATGTATCTAGATGTACTCTCTTCTATTTGTTTTCAGTATAATGAGTAATAACAATTTCCTTTCAAATAGCTATGACTGTTTAGATAAAAGGTTTTTTAAGCGGTAACTAACTAAACTGAAGATTTATTTCTAATTTTAGAAATTATTTTAATTACTATAAGATCCTAAAGAAAGATGTATGACTGCGAGGGTTGCATTCCTCTGTTTTCATGTTATACTCTTTGTTTGACCACCTCCCCTGGTCCCTCTATTTTCTTCTTTCAAGTTCTTTAGTGATAGCGGATATTGTTCACATTGTTTTACATATAAGTGTTTCATTTTAAAAGCTTAAATGAAGCGAAGCTGCAAAGAAAATTGAAAAAAGAGAGAACAAAACAAAAAACCTGAGCTGCACAAAATCACAAACTACTACATTTGAAATTGACGCTTTTGAAGTGCTTTATTGAAAGAACTTTTTCTTAATGTGCATAAGTGTTACTTTTGAGGTGTTTTAGACTATTATAGTTATGGAGTTGCCTTCATTAAGACTCATGCTGTTATGCATTGATCTTTTCTGGAAAATCACCATTTCCAAGTGATTAATTTTTCTTGAAGGAAATCATGCAAGGCATGTATCCTGGATGAGATATTGATACAAAGCTCTAAATTCCGTCAACAATAAACCTACTAAAAGTTTATAATATTCTGAAATATGGGTTGGTAGCTATAAATATATTTGCATGAGGTTCCATGAGGTGTGTATATGTAAATATATATTTCATTCCTCTTGATATTTATATTTTGAAGCTTTCTCCGAGAATTATGAGTTTTTATCTGTGGAAGCTTGCTTTTTCTCGGGAGACTTAGATTTGTGTGAAACAAGATATAGTGCGTCTTCATAATTATGATGGCTAATTTTTAAACCTCGCATCCTCTCGAGTATTGGCAAGTGTTTGCTATTGTTTCTCTTTAATGTTTTTTCTTGTATTATTGCATTAATTTTATATGTGTAGATTCCTTTAATCAGAGGTTTGGAAATTTAGTTATCTCAGCTTCCATTGATAAGATAAGACAGCTTCCCTAGAATATTATTTACTTGTGAAATGTAAATGTTTCGAAGTGTTGTTACACTTGCCCCACTTTTTCAACATATCAAGATGGTGATTGGTATTGTTTCTTTATGTTGCTAGAAAATTTGGATGTTCAGTCCACAAGACTTTTTGGTTAATAGGATAGTGCCTTAAAATTTTTTATGTAGTTATTATCTTGCTTCACTTTGCTTCATTGAATTTGATGTTGAATATATCAATCTTATTTCTCTTTTTTCTTGTTTATCTCACAGTCAATCTTTGTTTTCTTCCATCCAATCAAGTTTGGAATCACATTTACATTTGGCAATTTGCTTGCACTTGGAAGGTTTGTATCTAAGTTCATATATTTATTTTTCAAGCTTCTAATTTGTTAGCTAAACTATAGCATGTCATTATTCATTTTTGTGTTTCTGGAAGCACATGTAGTCACAGGTTTAATTGTTTGAGCATTTATGTGTGTTTGAGAGCCTTGTTCCAGCATTCTGTTGATTTTAAGGTGATCTTTTATTATTATTTGAGTGAAGGCTATTATTAATACTTACTTTTAGCAAAGTTGAACCGGACTCATGCTGAGCTTCTTGATCATGGGTTCCTGTATCTAGATTGGTGCGTTCTTTCCTCTAAGGTGTACTGGTTTGATTATTTAATAAATCATGAGGTACACTTTTCCTCCTTCCAATTTTCATTGACATACGGTTTATTATGTTGATGATTATGAAGGGGGTTTTTAAGAGGCCTCCAATTCTTATAAAAAAAAGTTTTGCTGGTTCTGTGCTGAGCCAGACTATAATTCTCTAATGTTTAGTGACTTTTGCTCCTTTAAGAATTAAATTTAGTCACTTTCTTCACGTTTTAAGTTATTATTATTGCTTTTGTAATCTTTATGTGAAAAATTGCTATTCTTATTCATAAACCTCTATTTTGAGATATTATGTTGTTTCTGAACTTCTTACAAATGGCTGATTTCTTTGTTGCTTGTTTATACCTAAGCGATTATGCAGCCTTTTGGTTTTAGCCCCTTGTCAAAGTTGCTCTATTTCTTTTATAATTTTTCTTTGTGGATATTGTGTTTATTTCAGATGCTAAGTTGGAGTCTTTTGTATGGCAGCACAGCGTTCCTCATTGGCCCAAAAAGGCAGGTGTCAATGATGCTTGATCCTGTTCGTATATATGCAACAGCTATATATATTGCAAGTATGATTATCGCTCTGTTTTGTGCCTTCTATGTAAGTTACTATTATCCTTTTACTTTCCACTTATATAATTCTGCATCTCTCTTTCTTTTACATTCTTTTTAGCTTATTGTGGAATGTAATAGGTTAAGTGATAACCTTAGCACTCCCTTCTTACTGAACAGGCTCGTAACAAGCTGTTGACACTTCTGGCAATCATATTAGAATTTGGTGCACTGATTTGGTATGTCAAACTCGATTCACTATATATGGCTTTTAAACATTTCCTTATTGCAAAAGAATTATGGTTCTCCAAAGAACCAAACAGTTGTTATCCGTCTCGTATAGCATTTGAAACAAATGAGTAGGCAACATATACCTCTACTGAAAGCAAAATGGTTTTGGATAAGGATATGTTAGTTTCTTGTCTTATCAAAAGTGCCATGCTACAAATGTGGGAAACATATGTCAGTGCAGTACGGTTTAGTTTGTATTTCATTATAATCTTACATATGTCAGTGAGATTCTGATGTTTGGTTTGCAATGGCATTGTTCTCCTGGTAAACTTAAACAAATATTGTTCTTAAAATGACATTGTTCACATTGTGGTAATGACCAAGTAAGTAACAATAAAACAAAACCATTGAATTAAAAACTTCTTAAGTACTGTTGTAATTCCCTCTCAGGTAAGATGAAGTTCACGTGTATGGAAGTTGAATCGGTTGATTGCCATTATTTTTCTATCAACTATTATATGCGTGTCTGCAAATCATGATGTTTACTCATTCTCTTTCTTTACAAGATCTACAGGTACAGCTTGAGCTATATCCCATTCGCAAGGTCCATGGTTTCAAAGATCATGGTATCTTGTTTCGACACCGAATTTTAATCTCATGTTGCAATTTCGTGTACATGCAAAGAAGGGAGGTTAGTCCTGATCCATAAAACTGAAGTATGTGATATATCTCTATCTATCTATGTACGAATAGTAAACCTCAAAGACGGATTTCCCTTCTGCTGCTCTTAAATTTTCTTAGATATGACGAGAGATGTTGCTCCGATCATGGAAGTGGCAACTTGGTTGAACAATTTTTTTTTCGATTTGCGTACATGTCGTTAAGTGATTTTAATGCGATGAAAATTATTCTATCTGGTTTAGAAGAGAAGGTGAGGCGTTGATCATGTGCAATGTATGATGTGGTTTATATCTCTACTTGTTTATGTATACATTAATGAATGATGAACCCCAAAACATATGAATCAGTCATAGATACAGAGCAATGAGGGAGAAGCATGTCCATGGCCATGAATTAGTAGTGCATCATATCATTAGTCTGAATTCCTCAAAGCTGGTAAGACCATGACCCATGCATTCATCAATAGACTCAAAACCTGTATGTAGCATCTTAAAAGGACTTAAATTCTAGGTATAATTAAAATTATCGTAACATAGTCGTAATTTTCTTTGGTTTATAGAGATTAGAAAACATTTCTTGGAAAAATAGTTTTTTTTTAGTTTTTATTGTCTAGTCGTTATTTAAATTAGTTTTTTTTATAACAAAGATGGGTAAGGTATGTGTTTAGTATGTAAACTATCAATTTTAGTCTGTTTTAGTATCTAAACTTTCATTTTTTTTCAAAATCATATATAAAGTTTAGTTTTTGTTTCATTTTAGTATAACTGTTTAGAATTTAATGATAAGTTTTGAAAATTTTGAAAATTTAGGTACTAAAACGAATCAAAATTGATAGTTTATATACTGTTAAGTATATTAATAAATTTAACCCTTCAATTTTTACACAGTTTTTCACGTTGGTCCTACTCATTTATTTTAGTTTAAATTGATCTTCGTCTTTTCAAGGGAAAGTATTGAAATATAGTTTAAATTGAACCTTGGTCCTCCCGAACTGATCGAGGTACCGAATTAAGTCTAGCACATAGTTGGAATTGCATTGTGATAGCGGAACTGGGGGTGACGGTTCTTCAAGTACTGCCAGAAAGTGTTCCAATCCCTTATCTTCTGCGACTCGTATCGGCTCGGTGTCGGTGGTTGCTGCTGATCGTCACCGGGATCATTAATCGTCGATGACCCTTCGGTTATATCCTTCCCTCTATCACTCGACATATCGTTGAGGATTAATGATGTTCTTTTGGTAAAGAAGTTAAACAAGGAATTATAGGAGAAGCAAGCAAAGGGGGAGGGGAAGATAATGAAGTTCACATCATGGGAGCAATCAGGACATGCCATTGGGCCATATGACGTTGCTTTCTGTTCCTCGCTTTTTCTCCTTCTTGAGTAAACTACGTATTTAATCATACAACTATTTGAGAATGTATTTGTGTGGACGGGCGTGAATTTAAAAATTTTGCCTATTATGAATAATGAGTAGGTGGTGTATATGAAATATTAGGTGAGTATAGGGATGGGGGAAGGATTATCCGCATCCGCTCTATTCGTTTGCCATCCCTACTGTGAGACATTTTTATTGTAATCAAATTATTTTAATTCAATCAAAAATTGAAACTCTGTTGATAAATTATTGGTCATCAATCTTTATAAAATCAAATTTGGAGTTTGGATCGCATCAAATTTCTTTTCTCTCTGTATTTGATTTTTTAGGTGGGTATGGGATGGGGAAGGGGTATCAGCTTCAATAATGCTGCGAGCCTTCCGGGGAGGTTGCTGGAAAATGGACAACCCGAGCAACGCACTCCTGCCGAGCTTCGCCATGAAATATGCAAGCAATAATGTAGGATCCCTGGTCCTAAAATTATACGTACTACCAATTCTCAACTTAAATTAAATGCTGAATAATTATTATTTGTTTTATTAAAATGACGAATAATTAGAAGTATATATAAGAAGAAATTCATAAAGCAGCAATCTAAGAGAGAAAAATGAGACTAATTATTTTTATGAATGACGCACAAATTAATTGACCTAAGAAGAACAAGAAAATTACAACAACATGGGCTGACAAGATTTGTTCAACTTTCCTATGAAACAAACAAATTAGAATTTACAGTTGAATTATGATGCGATTAATTATCTCTTATTGCCCCCACTACACCATAAATCAGAGAAATGGAAGTTTTTACCATCCAGAATCAATCGATTATAGCTGTCCTAAACCTATTTTTTTCTCCGAAGAAGCTTCCATTTGCTTTGTTTTTAACTAAAGAGAGTTGCATAGAGTATATGGTTCCAAGTATCTGGCAAACCTGGAAGGCACCAATGGCTACAGTCGTTGCCGTTGTGTAGGCCGCTGTACGCGGCCGGATGCGCGTCTTTCCGGTACTGAGAGAGTCCGGTAACGTCGAGCAGATACACCGGTTTCTTAATCCGACCAATGACCTTCTTCACCACAACCCATGCCATGGGCGTGCCTGCTGGATAACTCATTCCGAAGAATGGTTGCGTCTGTCCCGTACATGATTGTGTTGGTTGGTCCCAGTCTTTCCCCCTGCAAATCACATGATTTCTCCGTGTAATAAGCAGGCATGGACACAATTTTAGTTTTCGAGACGAATCTATAAAATTGGAGTTAATTGTATCAAACGTTTTCGATGTATGACTCTTATTTTAAATTTCTTTCTAAATTTTTTATGTGTTTCAATTTCATACTTAAAATTACAACTTTCGTTCTAAATTAGTCTTCAAACTTTTGAACACTTCAATTTCATCCCTATACTCTGGCATTCATTTTAAATTGATACCCAAAAATTTTTAGCATTCCAATTTCATCTCAAACTATAACTATATACTAATCACACCCCTTTCTAATAAAATCATTAGACCAAGTTGTATTGTTATATGTTTGAAATAACCAAAATTTAGGTTAAATTATGGTTTAAATTAATTACATATCTGGACAAATTTAGGGATGAAATTGGAATATTTAAAAGTTTGGGGATTACTCTAGAAAGAGGGACATAATTTGGGATGAAATGAAAATGTTCAAAAGTTTAATGACTAATTTAAAACGAGATCGGTAGTAAAAGAACTGTTGTAATTCTTTAAGGTCTTAGTAGTAAAAAATGCAAGGCAGAGGAGAAATTTAAGAGAAAACGAACCCTCAATTGAACATATATTACCTTATAATTATTCCGAATTCATTAAAAGAAATTTAGGAGAGAGAGTTATGGTTGCTTACTCGTAATGAGTTGGAGAAATGCCCTGGAAAAAGACCTTGGTTTTGAAAGGATCAACATTTCGGTTCACCCATCTGGCCCACGTGGTTAATCCTTTGTAGAATGCAATCATACGGTCCATGTCTTTCCACGTTTTACCACCGTCTTCTATGTAATCAAATCTGCACAATATCCGCAACAATTATTATTATTATTAAACTAGATTTTAGTCGATCCATTATTATAAGTTCAAAAAATAACAATCATGTGATGAGCGAGAATTTTTATAAATGCATGCAATGTTTTCTGAAAAGAGTAAACGGCATAAACATGTATTTTAGTTTGTAAGTAATTTTAAAATAACAGAATTAGAATTATTTTGTTAGGAGAAAATAGACAGGGCGGGATCACAGGGGAGCTTGTTGTTTGAAATATGTCGGGGACCAATGGGCGCGGGATCTATGTAAGAAGAATAAAAGAGAGAGAGAGATCGTACGGCTGGGATCTTCCGGTGTGGGTCCACCAATGCCAAGTGTTGAAGATCAGCATGTCCATCCCTTTCCATGAATCTCCGCCCCTGATCGAGTCAAGCTTCAACACCCTTCCAAATCTCTCGTTCACTACGTCAACAAGGTACGGCGTTCTATACAAGTATATCTTTACATCATAGTCCTGCAAAATATTATTAAATATATATAAATTTATAACTTTTAAATTACTTTTTATTAATTCCAGATAAATACATAATAATATTTATTCGAAGATAACTCTCAATCATTTAACTTTTAAAATCTAAAATCTAAAAGATAATAACAATTTTTCTATCATTAAAATCATTTGATTCGTGTAACTTTTAAAATATTAAATTATTAATTTGGTTAAATTTTAATTTAGAGATAAAAGGATGGGTGACTTTTTTTATGAAAATTGAAAACATGTATGAATGGATAAGTGAGAGCCACATAAAAATAACAGACTGTCATGTGATGTCCTATGGCAAACGCAATGCCTCCCCCTTTTAATGAACAGTTTACCTCTCTCCACTCTTATTTTCAACAAAAACACCACCTCCTTAATTCACTTTCACTCTCTCCAAATTGTTTTTTTTTTCCTATGGTAAATTACGGGTTTAGTATTTAAAATATCAATTTTGATATATTTTAGTAACTAAATTTTTAAAATTTTCAAAATCATACTTAAAATTTAATTTTTGTTTCATTTTAATATTACTGTTCAAAAAGTAACATTAAGTTTTGAAAAAAAATTAAAAATTAGGTTCTAAAACAGACCAAAATTAATAATTTAGATACTAAAAGTGTTATATTTTTAACAGTGGGTTACTAAAATTAAACAAAAACTAAAGTTAAGTATGATTTAAAAAAAAAATTAAAATTTAAGTATTAGAACTAACTAAAACTAATAAATTAGGTACCAAATACGTAATATACCCTTTTTTCTATTGCTCATGTCAGACTTGTCAAGTAATTTTCCACCAATGTCCAAAGCCCTCTCCTAGAAAGATGTGAATTCCAATCTTTTCCCTCCATTTTGATCTTTTATTAATAAAAAAAACAGTTATTTAACTGTATATTATTTACCAAGAAAAATATCAAATAGTGAGATTTTTTTATGATTTAAATAACAAAAACCAAGAATTCAAGACCTTAATTTTACTTTATAGATAATTTATTGAATGATTTAAGTAATAAAAAGTATATATTATTTCTTCTTAGAGAAGATGGGATCGAGTAGTTGTATCAATAAATTATGTGCATTAATATTATTAGATTTTTTTTGAACAAATATTACTTAATTTGACAATATCTCAAAGTATCTAGTCATTAAAATTATAAAAAATGCTAGTTCAATTATTAATATGGAAAAAAAATAAAATTCCACGAATTAAATTGAAAAAAATGACAAATTCAAGAACTAAGTATTATTTTATCCTTTTTAAAAATATAATATTGTTTACTTCTTCCTTTCGAGGTAGACTTTCTATTACAAAATAAAATCAATTAATTTACTGTAAATTTTGTGAGAAAAATAGTAATGATCTTAAGTACAGTAACCTAAGCATTTGTTTTAGTACTTAAATTTTTATTTTTTATTTTTAAATCATATGTAATATTTAGTTTAATATAAAAACTTAATACATTTAGTACTTAAAATAGTATGTTTTAGTACTTGAACTTTTAAAAAAATTAAAATTTATTGTTAAATTTTTAATGGTGTACTAAAATATAACAAAAACTAAAATTTAGGTATAATTTTAAAAAATTAAAAATTTATTAAAACTAATAGTTTAGATATTAAAGACGTAAAATACCCATAATTTTAAGTAATAAGAATTACTATTCTTTTCCACCAATGCGCCGAAAAAAGGATTTTGAAAAAGCGAGGTGATATTGCTTTTATGAAAGGGATGATACTGCTTTGTTTGTTTGTTTGTTGTTCTAAGCAACGGAATCCAATCAAAGGAAGCTTTCCTTCCCAAAAGATCGAAAAAGAAAATGGAAGAAGACGACAGACATGAATGCATTGTCCCCCGACCCAGATTCAATTTAACCATTATTAACCAAACACCACTCATAAGCCATCAAATCAAGAAGATCGAACTCACCAGAAAGCTGACCGAAGTAAGCCCGTCTCGTTTGATGTACGAAATCTGGGAATTAGGAGCCCAGGCCTGAATCATACACGTCAAAGACTGGAACTGATTCAAACTCAGTGAGTCGCCCACGAACATGATCTTCTTCCCCTTCCATTTCCTCAAGAAATACAACCCATTGAACCTACACAATTCAAAAAACTTTCACACAAAAAACTCTACATAAATGGAATCGACGAATCGCAATCACTTACCTGGGGAGACTGCAGGAGAATGGCTGCCATCGGTACTTGAGATAATTGCTATCGGGCCGGCCGTACTTTTGGCAGTCGAACTCGGGCTCGATGAAGGGGCATTTGAAAGGGTCGTAGAGAGGATACGAAGAGTCGTAAACCCATTTCCCTCTGAACCAGTTGCAGCTCGTGGCTAAGACTCTGCTCCTGTTGTTGTTTGCATTGTTATTTATGGCATTGAAACCCTCGCCTTTTGTGTGATGCAAAAACAACAAAAACAGAGAGAACACCACCAAGCCCATACCCATGGGGGTTTGGGTTATTTTTGCTGCTCAAAACTGTTAAAGAGAAAGGGAGGAGTTGAGAAGGAAAAGTGGTTAGCTTATATAAAGAGGGAATGAGAGGAAAAAGAAGAAGCTTTCACATGCAAGTGTACCTAAACTCAATGCTATCTGGTATAATTTTTATTAGTTTTTATTAAGTCAGTACAACAACTTATATGTTATTGATATTTTTTTATAAACTATCAATTTTAGTTAGTTTTAGTATCTATGCTATCGTTTTTTTTTTATTTTAGTACCTCAAGTTTTAATTTTTTTAAAAATTTAACGTTAAATTTTGAACGTGGTGCTAAAATAAAACAAACAACTGAACTTTAGCTATGATTTTGAGAAATTTAAGTATTTAAAAAAGACCAAAACTGATAGTGTATATATTAAATACGTAATTTACCCTTGTGTTTTTTATTAGAAGATCCAATCTTACAATTTTTAAAATAAAATAGTAAACTTTTTGTTATCTTCCTTGTCGTGTGGGGGAGGTGGGATCCAATCACTTTGAAAAATTAGGAGCATGCCATTATGAGGTTTATTATAAGAATAATAGGATCACTTTTTCCCCTACATTTGGAGACAAAAGTATAACAATACAATATTTTCTCGCTTTGCTTTTATTCCAAGCTGACGCCTCCAAATTCACTTTTCTTTCCCTCTTTTTACCTTTCATTTCTCTCATAACATCATTTGAAAAACCATCAAACTCCAAAAACAGTAGAAGATGTGTGGCGGTTTTGATCGATTCTTCTCTTCTAATTTGAACGATGAATTACGGTAAGTTGTTTAATAAGTTAAAATGTCTGATGAATAGTAGAGAGAGATCGGCCTTGTATCGTGATTTATAAGCGTACCTTTAGTGTCGATGTCAGATATAATGTGTGAGCAAATCTAACTCTCAACTAATAGATTTAGTTTGTGAATCACGTCAAGTAATTGTAATTTTTACGAAGGATATAAAACTTTGAAGGTTTTAAGAAACTCTTCAAAGTTTGATAAACGAAAAAATGCTAATGGAGACGTGATTTGCGTAGAAGATTCATAGAAAGTACGATAATATTTAATTTTTGATATTTTTATCTGTAATAATCTTTAAGTTCAACGAAATTAATAAATTTAAATTATTTTAATAATATGATACGATCTCAAAGTATTGCATCATTAAAATAGTAAAAAAATTGAAAATTTGTAAAAATAAAAAATGTAAGAATTTAAATGTATAATAAATATTATAGAAAAATTTGTGATTACTATATTGTATCATGGTTTGCTACCAGTATACGTCTCATTATTAAATGTTGAATTGAAGGGAAAATGGAAAGCAAATAATGGAAGAGGTAGATCGCTTTTATCCCCATTAAAACATAATTGATTACGTCTTCATATCAACTCATGGTGATTAAATAGGTAGTTTTTGTTTACCGGGACTTTTTTTTTTTGAATTAATCATTGGTATTCGATCTATTGATCGATTAATTCAGATCGGGTACTGCAGAGGCGAGGGTGACCCTCCAACCCAGTTTACTCCATTCGCAAACGTCAGGATTCGAACCTCTGACCTTGCTTAAAGGACCTAGTGTCTCATCCTACTAGACGAACTGATTTAGGGTTTAACCTAATTACTAACCTTTTAGGTTGGGTCTTTTGTCTAAATAAGTCTTTAAACTATTATATGCAACCACTTTAAGTATTTGAATTATTTTTTGGTCAAAATAAGTCCCTAAACTATGTCTTTTTTTGCTTTAAGCTTCTAAACTATTTTTGTCAAAACAAGTGTCTAATTTTGTGTGACATGTCAACATTTTATTGTCCGAAAATCATTTTTATAGTTGAAAAATTATAGGACAAAAAATGATTCAATATAATAGTTTTAGTACTTAGTTTGACCAAAATATAAATTCGTTCCCTACATTTAAAAGTGGTAAAATGTTTAAAAATTAAATTCTACACAGAACCAGTTTAATTGACCGAATTAACTTAAATTTGTAAATAAATCAAGTTTGAACTAAATTATATTTGATCAGCGTGTATTAATTTCAAGATGTTGAACTTGGAATGATACCTAGAACTTACCGTATTATATTTGGCAAAGATATTGTCACACCAATTTTTTTTTTACTATTTTTTCTCGAATTTAGGGTTTTGTTTTGATTAACATAGACTAACATATGTCGTATATCTGATTTTAGTAAGTAAATCTCCCAATAATTTTTTTTTTACATACATAATGATTTAAACTCAAAATTTATTTAACAGTCTTCGAGTAACATGTATGAGCTAAAGGATCGATTTTTGTAGTGTTGTAAAGTTTGAACTTAAAAGGAAAGGACTGAGGGAGTAGACTGGGACAATAAAATCAGAAAAAAAATTAAATTATTATATATTTTAAATATATTTTAATAAATTTTTTTTCTTTAAATTTTTTATAAATTTACTCCTTTTGAAATTTTGAAAATCCGCCACTAACGTAAAATCTTGCCTCCATCATAGTTATTTGAGGTAATCAATATGTAAGGCCTATTTCCAAGGGAATAGTTGAAAGACTAATGCATGGTTCAGTTGGTTTGAGGTGACGTCGTTTTTTTCAGTAGCAACTGGTTGTACAACACTAGTAGTGGGAACAAAGTTTGATGTGAGAATGACACAATAGGTGTTTGTTGTGCAGACAATGATGGACTAAGGGTCAGGTAACGACTATCATTCTCTTATAAATTTTAAATTTTTATATATTTTTAGTAAAATTTTATAAGTACATTTTTCATTGAAAGATTTCAGCCTAACACAAATTTTACTCATGTTAGATGTATAGAAGATATTGGAGTTTCTTGTTTAGAAATGACCGTGAATATAGTTGTAAAGCTCTTAATTTTGTGGTCGTGAGATCGAGTTTTACGGTAGATAATTCATAATTGGAGGTCTCCCACGAAAGTTGCTCTCAATCTGACGTTGGGGGTAGCCTAGTATCCTACCTCCCCTTACCCCATTATATATAAGAATAAGGTCAGTTAATTTTTGTGTGAATATAGCTGTAAATTAAACGAGACATTGCGAGTTACATGAGATAGATTTGATCAAAACTCGATAAATAGTCTATTCGACTCGAGTTCTTAACGAACCGAAAGGTACTATTTGATATTCGACTCGAAAAACTAGTGAGCATATTAGAAATATAATATATTAAGATTTTATTTAAAAATAAATTATTAATAATATTAAGATTTATGTGTTGGTTTTTTTAAAAAAAATATAGTATAAGATTTTCATGTATTTAAGGTTTAGGTTCGAGCTTGAGTTTGTAGCTTTATTCAAGTTATGTTTAAGATTTTTTTTCCTCTTTTGGAGCTTTTATGAGCTTCAAATAATGATTTTGAGTTCGAGTAAAATTTAAAAATTTTAGGTTCACGAATTCTCGAGTCGAGTTGAATTTCATTTCAAAGTTTTAACTCAACAACAGTTGAGTTTGACTTGACTCGTTTACGGCATCCCTAACTGTGAATGGAAAAAAATTGCTTATAAAAAAGAATATGACAGTTAATAATATATTATTTTATGAGAAGCATACAAGCATTCATGTTTAGGAAATACATATTAAGTTTATTCTAATTTAGCGTTCTAAGTATGATTTCAAGCCCGGATAACAAGAGCAACAGGACCATTAAAAATAGGGTAAATTATGCATTTAATATTTAAATTATCAGTTTTAATATACTTTAATACTCAATCTTTCAAATTTTTTAAAATCATACCTAAAGTTTAATTTTTGTTTCATTTTAGTATAACGTTAAAAACTTCATTTTTTTCGTTTTAGTACTATCGTTCAAAATTTAACATTAAGTTTTGAAAATTTTGAAAGTTTAGGTACTAAAACATATCATACTGATAGTTTAGGTGCTAAACGCATTAATTTTTTTAAGGACAAGTTACTAAAATGAAAATTAAACGTCAGACATAACTTTAAAAAAACTAAAATATAAATATTAAAACGGATCAAAACTGATAATTTAAATATAAAATATATAATTTACCCTAAAAATATATCGGATCTCAAGTAGTTTAGGTATTAAACGTGTCTTTTAAGATTAAGGGATAAACTGATCAAACTTACTAAATTCATGAGACAATTCGATCAAAAAATATCAGGACTAATTTAACCGAAAAAGGGAATTCAGGAGAGAATTTAGTTAAATCTACTAAATTAATGGGTAATTCATGTTTTAGTACTAAACTTCCACTTCACGTCGTCTTCACCCCGCTCTTTCAATTGGTTCGTGTTAAACACGATGAGCAGCTGAGCGTGAGTCGATCCCCGCTATGATACTTGGGCAGCACGGCTCTCTGGATTCACCCACACGCTTCTCTCGATGCACCCACACGCTTCTCTCAAGTCAGTTGGACCCACGAGGGAACGCTCCACCGTACAGCTGTAAGATAAGGATAGAGGGAGAGAGGGAGAAAAAAGAATACGAAGAGGGAAAAAAAACTAACATAATTTCCCTAGAGAGAGAAAGATACTCAGACGAAGATCTGATATCGAACCGGCGAAGGTCAGGCGTTGAGAAATCTCTCTTTTCCTTGTTTCCTTTATGAAATTTGATTCTGTTTTGGGCTTGTAAAGATGGTTGTGGTTTTAATTTTGTAGATCGAGGAGGGGTTTCGTTATTTAAATTTGTTGTATTTTTCTTTGTGGGAAATCTGAAGTTTGGAGGTGAAATTAGGGTTTTGGAACGGAGGTGGTTAAACTTAATCCCTAATTTGGATTAATCGGGGAAAGTTGATTTTCTTCTTCTTCTTTGGGTCTGGATTCTGGAGAAGGGGGAATTAGGGTTTCCAACCTATTAGATGTATGGCTTCGGGAACGGTAGTTGGAGAAGGTAAAGATGGTGAAAACAGAGAGAGGCAGCGGTACATGGAGAACAAGGTTTACACCAGGAAAGCGTTTAAGGGTCCCAAGAAAAATAATCTTCTCGACATCACCGCTAACAACATCACCACGGCCAAGGATGGCAACAACAAGAACAATATCGTCAACAACAAAAGCAACGACATTAATAACGAGGACAACAACAACTGTAGCACTGCTGTGAACAACAGTGTCGTCACCACAATTGTGCACAATGAGGAGAACACGAATGACGAGAACAAAAGTATCAGTGATGACAAGAACAACAACAATTCTGCTGAAGCACCAGCACAGGCTCTTCCTTTAGAGCATAGTGATTCGGCTCACCAACAGCCCGCACCCCGTTTAGATACTTCTGTGTCTGGTGACTCTTCAAGTCCTCAAAAGCAGCATGTTGTGGCTGGCAATGGAGCCGTGAAGCCGAGTTCAGAAAACAGGTTGAAGATCAAATTGGCTTCAAGGTCGAAGCATGAGATGCGGGAACTGAGGAGGAAGTTGGAGAGTGAGCTTGATTTGGTGAGGAATTTGGTGAAGAGGATTGAAGTTAAAGAAGCGCAGATTAGTAATTCACATGTTCCCGTGAATGACAGCGTTGATTATGGATTCAAGAGGGTTCAACCAGAGGTGACTTCAGTCGGTATTACTCAGGAGCCTGTCAAGCATCTAAGGCCTTTGAACCAGTTGAATATTCCTTCCTTGGAGATTAGTCAGGGTGTGAGTGAAAATATGGAGAAGGAGAAGAGAACACCTAAGGCCAACCAATTCTATCGGAATTCAGAGTTTTTGCTTGCAAAAGATAAGCTTCCCTCAGCAGAGAGTAACAAAAGTTGAAATTAAATGGGAAGAAGCGAGGAGGAGTTGAATTAAATCGTGGCTTTGGTATGGGTAACAAGTGCTTTAAGAGCTGTAGCTCTTTGCTTGAAAGACTAATGAAGCATAAGCATGGTTGGGTCTTTAATGCCCCTGTTGATGTCAAAGGTTTGGGTTTGCATGATTACTATACTATTATTAAGCATCCCATGGATTTGGGTGCTGTGAAATCAAGGCTTAACAATAACTGGTACAAGTCGCCAAGAGAATTTGCAGAGGATGTGAGACTAACATTTCGCAATGCTATGACATATAATCCGAAGGGACAAGATGTTCATATTATGGCGGAGCAGTTGTCACAGATATTTGAGGACAAATGGGCTGCTATAGAGACAGATTATATTCAAGATATGAGACTTGCAATGGAATATGAAGCTAGTCTTGCTATGCCAACTCCAAGAAAGGCACCTCCAATGCTTCCCCCACCACTCGATATGAGAAGGATCCTGGATAGACCAAAGTCAATGATGGGCCCTGATCTGAGGCCAAAAGTCATTGCTGCTACTCCTTCAAGTAGGATACCTACTCCAAAAAGCCTAAGGCAAAGGATCTGTATAAGAGGGATATGACTTACGAAGAGAAGGAGAAGCTTAGCACCAACCTTCAGAGTTTGCCTTCAGAGAAGCTGGACAACATCGTGCAGATTATTAAAAAAAGGAATTCGTCTCTCTTCCAACATGATGATGAAATTGAGGTGGACATTGACAGTGTGGATACTGAGACTCTTTGGGAGCTAGATAGATTTATTACCAACTACAAGAAAAGCTTAAGCAAAAACAAGAGAAAAGCTGAACTTGCCATTCAAGCTAGAGCAAAAGCTGAACAGACTTTGCAAGAGAAGGTAAAGCTTTTTTGTCAGTTTCTTATAAAATAATTTTTTTCCAAGAGTTCTGAATGCTTATATTTTATTTAGTTGCAGTCCCCAATGCCTGTTTTGATTGAAGTGGCAAAGGAAGCCAGAATTAGTAAGTTTTCATATAATAGGAATGATGGTATTTTAGTTGGTTCATGCTAGGTTGGACTGATAAGTGATAACTAAAATTGTCTTACTTCTATCTACAGATGATCAGAATATGTTCACATCAACTGTTGAATTGGGTAAACAGGGAGATAATGCTAGTAGGGCAAGTAGTTCGAGTAGCTCCAGCAGTGATTCTGGATCTTCATCGAGTGGTAGTGTGATTTGTTTCTAACTAGATTTATTTTTCTCCCCCCTCCCCCTGTTTTCTCTTCTTGTTTTAAACATATATAATTTCGTTGCAGATTCTGATAGCGAAAGCTCCTCAGCATCTAAATCTGATACTGGACATTCACCAAGGTCTTGATTTTTTTTTATTCAGGTATGGTGAAATGTTCCTTGACTTGATTCTTCAAAGTTCCTTGGTTTTATTTGCTTGTGTTCAAGTGGCATCTTCGAATTTTGTTTATATTGTGGTTCATTTGAATAGTATGAAGTTACATTTGATGAAAATGGTGGTAACTGTCATTGCATGCAAGCATTACATTTTGGCCAAGTAAAGAATTCTGTTATAATTTATAACACTTGCTACAAATGTTGTACTTTTGGGATGTTGCATCAAAGTCCCGGTGATCGTGTACTTGCTTAAAACTGCTAAGATGGAGATGGTGTTATATGGATGCTTTTCGGAACTTCCAACTACTGGTGCAATTCAAGGTTTGTTTTACTAACATGTGATGTTCTTCTATGCTTTGCAGTGGCTGATCTGAGAATTTAGGGTAGGGTGCCGATCCATTTAGATCCTGAAGCTTTGCAGATTCCGTTTTATGATTTTTGAAGTTGCATTAGGTGGAGAACTTTCAGTGCCTTTGAACATGGACGTCGAGGGACATCAGCCAGCCATTTAGCCACTGCAGAGTGCGGGGTTGTGTTTCTGGCGCAGCACGGCATCGTGATGTGGACTATTTTGTATAATACGGGTAGATGTGTCAAATGCTTAAGAGAATTGGGGTTTTCTTTTTCTTTTTCGTGGAGCACTTGTACGTTGCTAACGCTGCTGGTGAAGCTAATAATAGTTTTAGGGAACATTTGTTTATTTATAAGATGGGTGGCAGATTCAGGATTCAGGATGTTATACACGGAAATGGCATTGTAATATCACTCACAATTGCATCGCATGAAATCATCTGCGAAATCCGATTTATTGATTCTGCCTGCTTATCTGTTGGTTCAGAATTGGGCACGAATTAGAATATTGGAATTATTTAGGAATATAATCTAATGTAGTCCGCTAGCATGTGAGAATTATTTAGGAATAATGATTCGGTGTATGGTATATTTTGCAGCAAGAAATTGAAACAAAAGTCGTCATTGCACAAACACAAAAATGGATAGAGACAAAAAGGGTAAACTATGCATTTAGTACATAAATTATTAGTTTTAATCTATTTTAGTACCTAAACTTTTAATATTTTGAAAAGGTATAATGCAAACAAATACCCCTAATGTTTGGGGTTATATGCATTTTTGTTTAAATGGTTTTTTTTTAAAAGCAGTTTTACCCACAACGTTTAAATATGAGGCATAAGTCCTCTCGTTGGATGGAAACCGTCAGTCAACTGACGGTCAACGGGTCCATCTGATTAAGCATTCACATGTGGTCACCGATCAAAAACCCATTCGAAATTGAGGAGATTTGATGGAGTCAAAATTTAAAGGGGATATGCGATTTTATGTAATTTATGATTCCATTCAAACAAATCAACTCACCTTCAAAATATACGCTTCTGTAATCGGTTTGAGGCTGCTGCTTGAAGGAAAATTCGTTATTGTAGAGGAGATTTGATGGAGTCGAAATTGAAAGGGGAAATGCGATTAGGAATTTGGTTTGATTTGTATTTGGGGATACCTGGGTTTGGGGTAAATACCGTTTGAAGCATATATGTATGCTAAACGAGTGTATCAATTTTTTTTAACATGGACATTTATTTTTGGTTTATTAGTAGTTTTTTACACATAATTATCGAGTAACATGTCTAGCTTGGTGGCAAGGGCCATCACATTTCACGCCCTTGCACCAGGTTTGAATCTCATTCACCGCGTTTAGGAGCCTTTCATCCCTTCTATCAAATACGCGCCAATAGGAGAGTGCCCCGTCATCATTGATGACCATATGTGAATGCTTAGTCAGATAGACCCGTTGACCATCAGTTGACTGACAGTTTCCATCAAATGGGGGACTTATGCCTCATATTTAAACGTTGTGGGTACAACTGTTTCAAAAACAAAATCATTTGGGCAAAAATGCATATAGTGTCAAATGTTATGGGTATTTGTTTGCATTATGCCTTTTGAAAATTATGTCTAACGTTTAAATTTTTATTTCATTTCAGTGCCCGTGTTAAAATTTAATGTGTTTAGCACTTAAACTATCAGTTTTGGTCTATTTTAGTACCAAAATTTTTAAAACTTAAAGTTGAATTTTGAACTGTCACTAAAATAAAATAAAAAATAAACTTTAAATATAGTTTTGAAAAATTGATAGTTTAGGTACTTAAAAACGTAATTTACCCAAAAAAATCATTTTTTTAATAACTAAAAGATGTTCATACTAACAGTCCAACTAAGCCCGCAAGCAGAGGTGGAAAACACTTGCAAAAAGATTCATTAAATAGGTTGACAAAACTAAATATCCAACCCAAAAGTTCAAATAAATACGACTTGTCCTCCAATTACCATTTGCCTTTGCTGCTTCAAAATTCTAAACTAAATCTTCATTTTCACACTAAGCTAGTGGGAAGATCCTTACAGTAACAAAATGAATGAAAGAAAAGAGCAAGAATCAGCCAGGATTGAGCAATGCGATGAGAAGCACTCAGATCTGTATAATCCGGCCCCACCCCCAGTGTTCCGGTTGACTCAGAGATGCTTGCATTGTTCACTGTCTTGCTGCATTTCAAATAAATTGACTCAGTACCCAGAAAAAGAACCCATCAATTTTTCGAAACCCAATAGGGAAAAGCATTACCTGGAAGGGAACTTGCAATTTCCATAGCCTGAAACAAAATATTCACATGCAAATGAAAGGGTTTAATGGCAACTGTGAAATCACTAATCGGCCAAAATTTGAAGAAGAAGAAGAAGAAGAAAGAACTCACTGGGGTTTAAAGAAGTGAGGGCGGCATTGTTGGAGAAGGAGCAAGCATCGTCGGTCATGCCGTTCTTCAAGTAGTAGTCATTGAAGGCATAAGACGCCGTTTTCTGGATATCGGTTGGGTCGGAACAGGGTCCGCCTTGCTGGATAGGGTTGCAGTTCGCCCCGCCTTGACCGCACGCCCAATCAAGCGCTCCCTGCAGCGCCGTGTCCTCCGCGTTGTTCTTTGCTACGCACCAAAGCTCCGTGACCACCGTTCCGCCGCCTCGCTGGGCCGTCGAACGCGTCGCCGACACGAAAACTAGACACAGGATTAGAGGAAGGAAGAGATTCGGGGACATGGTAATATGGGACTTGTATTTGTTCGTAATAATGTTAAATACAGAAAACTGGGAGAAAAGTGACTGTTGGGAGATCTCAGGAAAATGGAAAAAAAACAAAGGAAAATCGGAGAAGAAAGAGGAGATCTGGGGATACGAAAGAGTAAATTTATTGAGTCACTCAGAACTCGGGAACCGTTTTGTGAGTTGTGCTTTGTCGAGTAGCGTCTCTGTTATCTTTCAGTATTTCCATCAACCTAGGTCTTTATCCTTGGATTATCATGTTCGGATCAACCATTTTTATTAAGTAATTATTTTTTAAATAATATCATGATATTCATTTATCGAAAATTATATCACTAACATCTTATTAATTATAGATTGAATAAATACAATCATAATTATTAGAAGTAAAATATAACAATGATCGTCCAATAATATCTTGATAAGCAAAAACATAATTAAGTGAGATAATGACATACATAAACTAATCATATCAACGGCTTCAAAAACCAAACATAAAATAATTTTTTTTAAGAAATGTCAAAATGACCAACGAAAAAAATAATCTCCTCTTAATAGTAATTTCATCCAACACAAAAACGTGATAACCAACGGATTATTTTGTACAAATTAATAGAGAAACAAGGCATTAAGAAAATAATAAATCATGTATAATCATAGACCGAGAAGAAGACAAATAAAAGAAGTTTGTAAACACCGGTCGCCGTGATACTTAAACTGGGTTACGAAGGTCGTCATCGTCTATGTAGTACATGATCTGAATTAATCAATCAATACATCGAAGATCAATGATTAATTAAAAAAAAGAAAAGAACCAAAAGAAAATATTATTATTAAACCATGTTAAACTAAAATTGAAAAACCAATAAAAGTAAAACGAATTAACGAAAAAAAAAAGAACAAAAGGATAGGGTGATGGCAGTGTACGGCCACCACCGCTCCCCCAAAGATAGAACGATGGTAACCGGCGGCCAAGAAGATAACTTCTGCATAGAAGATAACTGCCCCACCAATTTTATCCTTCAGTAACTATTTTTTGAATAAAAATCCAGTAATCATATTATCAATACTGTCCAAAATTGGATAATCAATTTTTTTAAGTGATTATCACCGTTAATTACAATTAAAATACTATGAGAATCCTTTCACAATGAAAGCATCAAAGCAGTTTGTTCAAATTAAGACTATATGTAACACCCCAACTCGTACTCGACCCGAATACGAGTCCGAAATGTCACAATAACTTTTAAAAACGATATTATTATAAAAATATTAAAACATTTGAACTCATTTTAAAAAAAATACCACAATATTCTATTAAATTATGTTTCGTATAAATTTTCGAGTCAAAAACATATTTATGAACAGTAAAATACGATATTAACAGTAAAATTTTCCTCAACGGTATCTTACTCAATTTTTTTCAAACTCGGACTTTTACTCACACACAGTATTATTCATCTGTTTCAAAATCAAACGTTATAACTTCCTTTATCTTATAAATTGTTCACCGACATACTCATTCTTAAACTTTTTTATTACTCTTTATATTCTCTTGAACATTCGAATCCTTATCTCCTTCACTAAATCACATTACATAATTAAAATATACATTGTATTCGAATCCACTTCGTATTTGGTTATCATAACCTAATAATATCTTATAATTCCAATACACTTCCATCACATAATTTTGTTAGCCATTGCTAACTCTTTCCATCTATAATGCAAATCCCTTATCATATTCACACTCTTGCTTATTTACAATACTATTTACATGTCTACTATTCCTTTTTACATATCACCTCTTCAATAAATCTTTCGTGCTATCATAAACTTCACTTCATTTCTTTAATTATTTCATTAACTTTTCCCTTATGCTTTTACATTCCTCTCATATCATTTATACTTTTCATTTTTTATCTTTTTAACTTTTCTATCAATACTTAGTTTCTGTCAAACATACAAATCCTTTAACTTTAATACATTCACTATCACACTACTTTATTATTCAACTAATTTTTTCAATCAAAACGTAAACCTTCATCAAACTATCCATATATATATTCTTTACGGTCAAAATAATTCATCCTCTAATTCCTTCACTTATCAAAACTTCATTTTCACTCATCCATAATACAATTCCTTTGGTTCTAATTCAACCATTCCATTTACCTTTGTCTTTTAACTGAACACTGATATATCTATTCTTAACCATTCTTTGGTCTTTTAATATTCTCCAATTAATATCAATCTCTTCCACTTTATCTTGTTCATGCTATAAAGGAACTATTCTATTTCAGAACGATAAAGTTCCTTTAATACTATAATTTCCAATCCATCTGAACTGATTAGCTTTATTTTCTGGCGGAGAATACAACTAATTCATATCTGGTTTAAAGTTGAAAACCATAATCTCTATCTTTCTTTGATGGCGCTTAACTTTATGAAGCACTAATTCTCTTAATCATCTGAGATTTTTATTCTCCAATCCTTTTATTCCGAGCTCTCTCTAGAGCTTTAAAGCGATTAAACATTTCTTGAAATGAGAACAAATTCAAAACCCGTAACACTATTTTTAATTTAAGGTGTAAGCCGTAAACGACCAATCACATGTATCATTCCTATCATTCTTAATCAGAATCAACTCAACAATACATCTGCGTAACTTATTAAACTTATACTCATACATATGCATGTGTAATTTCCTTGCTTCAAGCTCATATATTCGAGCTTCATTTGTTTTATGAATTGATAATTCATGTACTGGTTCTTGAACTCTTCTACAAAGGATAACCACATCACTTGATTTTTTAGCATTCTTATGGTGATATTTTTTCACCATACTTCTAGATTGCCCATGTAATAACTAAACTACTCAATTTAACTTCTCCAATTTGAAGAAATAAAAACCTTCTAACATTATCTTCCTATCATTTAATCAATTGTCCATAAACAATGGAACATTTCTCAAATTCACCCTTGAACTCGGGTGCTATTAACTCTTTTAACTATTTCGATACATTCATTCTATGAATTATAGAAGTATAAAATTGAAAACACATCATAATATCATTCAACATCATGAAACATTCTCTAATCTTGTACAGACACTCCCTGAGGTTTTTCGCTATTCTCCATGCGTGGCCAGGGCAGGTGAATGCTATTACCTTCACTCTATTGCCTTTTGCTTCACTTTGAAAACTCTCATTATCATACATCTAATATAACATAACACTTTAACTTTATTATCAAGACAATATACTCCTTACACTATCAGATCAGAAAATTTTTCACTTTGTGTTGGCATGTATACTTTTTAAAACACTTTTAACTTCGTTGTTAGCCTAGAATCGGCTAAACCGTAGCTTTGATACCATTAAATGTAATACTCCAACCCGTACCCGACCCGAATACGAGTCCGAGATGTCACATTGACTTTTAAAAACGATATTCTTATAAAAATATCAAAATATTTGAACTCATTTTAAGAAAATACCACAATATTCTATTAAATTATGTTTCGTATAAAATTTCGAGTCAAAAACATATAAATTTATAAAAATTTGAACAGTACCTACTACAGTACCCGAATGTTAAAATTTTCCGGATTCAAAGAGGGGAACCGATTCCCCTGCTACAGTACTACTACAAAACTGCTACATTACTTCCGTAAAATACGTATAAATTTATAAAAATATGAGGTTTCATCCGTATAAAATTTCCATTTACATATACACATTCCAAACATTATAAAATTCAATCATATGATTTTACAAAACCAATTAGAACATATCTGATTTAATCCTTTATTTACATGCCAACCACTATCCTTATTACAAAATACATACTATACATATCTTTTATGATCTGATCTTTGGAAATGAGAAACTGACATGTCTTGCATAACTTTTATCACTCTTCTCTTTTTCGCTTTCCAAATCTACGTGTGAAACAATCACACGCTAAGTCGTTGACTTACTGAGGCATATAAAACATAATTATATGCTAACTGTAACTTCTACAATGCATGAACATTTGATATTACCTTATCATACCAAATCATATATTCTTTTCTGTAATATATACATACATACACATATCATATAATATAACATCATTAACATGCTTATCATTTCTCATTTTATCATCACTAATTTCTTTATATACCATATCAACATATAATTCCTGTAACATTTTGTTGAAAACATTTTGATATTTCGATATAACAAATTAAGTTAAATGAATTTTAAGATTTTCCAAATAATTTTCTAAGTATATTCGATATAATTATTCGAATATCAAAATATTACTCCAAATATTTCAAAAAACATTTTTAATCCTTACTTAAGTGTAAAATTAAGTTTTAATCTTAAAACAATTTCAAAATAATCTTTCAAAGTATTTCGAACAATTTCAAAGCCAAAAATTCCAGATTGCTCAGAGGGAACCGATTACCCTCAAGGGGGTACCGATTCCCCATGAATGGTTTGGCTCCGAGATTTCCAGAATGCTCGGAGGGAACCGATTCCCCCTGTTCAACTGTCAAAATATTTGAATTTTACACTTAGGGAACCGATTCCCTATGAGGAGGAACCGATTCCTCCCACCCTCCAAGTTGTTTTATTAATTGTTTTCACACTAAAACGTCTATATGATCTTCACTAATCATCCCCAACGTTCATAAGTGATTCAAGGTGTATTTAAACAAGTTCTAAAGCCCTTGATCAACAAGAAATCATAAAGAAAATATAGAGAAACAAGAGAGAAAGCATCAAACACCAAGTTTGTGCAAATCAAGCCAATTTTCCTTTCAATATTCATCTTGCTTTCAAAGAACACCATTTGTGCTCATTTGTAATTATTTGTGAGTGTTCTTTTCTTGTTCTAGAATTTTGCAAACATCTTACCTTGTGAGGTTTTCCTTGTAAGTTTGCAAATTTGTAATCTTCTCTTTGGGAAAGAGTGTTCTCAAGAATTGGGGTATATTCTTGAGGGTGTTGTAAGGTTATCTCTTTGGCCTCAAAAGAAAGAACAAATTAGTGAATTTGTTGGAAAATCCTTAGTGTGGATAGCTAAGGTAGTGGACGTAGACTTTGATTGAGAAAGTCGAACCACTCTAAATCGATGTGCAATTACTTTCAATTTTCTGCAAAAGCTTCCACCAAATTTTTAATTGCCAATTCACCCCCCTCTTGGCCAATTCCGTCAATCGATTAACT